GCGGGCTGCGCTGACAGCGCGTTGGATTGCTGCAGGCCGCGCGCGGCTGCGCTTGGCAGTAGCGGGCCGCGCGCGGCTCGGCGCGGGCTGCTGCGGGCGGCGCGCGGGCCTCGTGAGCCAGGAGCAGGCCGCGCGCGGCTCAACGCGGGCCGCGTGGGCTTGGCGCGGGCTGCGCGCGGGCTGCGCGCGGCTGCAGCGGGCTGCGCGCGGCTCGGTGCGGGCTGCGCGCGGCTGCAGCGGGCTGCGCGCGGCTCGGTGCGGGCTGCGCGGGCTCGGTGCGGGCATCGCGCGGCAGCAGTGGGCTGCGCGCGGCACGGTGCGGGCTGTTCGCGGGCCTGAAGGGCGTGTAGGGGCGGCGCGCGGGCCTTACGGGCCTCTAGGGGCAGCGCGCTGGCCTAGGGCAGCAGGAGGCAGCGCTAGGGCTGCTGGACGGCTCGCGTAGTGCAGCACGTCACAAGGCAAGGCAAGGCAGGCAGGTACGTGGGGTAGCGCGGTAACCGCAGCGGTAGGTGGGCCCAAAAAAAAAAAAAAAAAAAAAAAAAAAAAAAACGGTCCTACGGACCTTAGTGCTCTGTATGTTGGGCTGAGAACAGCCCTTAGGATCTTTGCAGGGGTAAATTCGGGGTAGGATAATTGTAATAGCGGAAGCGTTTAAGAGGATTGTGAACCACCTTGCGCTAGTATGTGAGGGCAAAGTAAGTTAATTAAAGCAAAGAGATACAAGCATTTATATATGAGTACAAGGAATATGAAAGGATACGGTTATAACTGCTTTACTGTTGCTGTTGCGGTTCGATACAGTGACGACTCGGGCAACTGCTCTGTAGCGAGTCAGTTGTGTGTCCTTACTGTCGCGCTGTACTTGTCAGGTCAAAGGTCGCTGACCTTTGACTTTCGCGTAACCTCCAGCAACCTCTTTCAACCTCCGAGGGTTGACTCGCGTGTGCCTCAATATAGTTCGCTTCGCTTCTGGTGCGATGTTTCGACACGACAGAGGCGCTTAAGATTTACTGTTTCCAACACTCCCCTTCGCTTCTGGAGTGTCGCAGCTGATGACGTGGCTTTGTCCAGTCAGCAGCATGCAATACTCAAACTTCTGCTTTCCGAGCTTCTTGGTCAAATAGTCGGCTGCCATCTCGGACGTGGGACAGTATGACAGCTCGAGTCTTCCCTTCTCGATCTCGTCCTTTACGAAGAAGTAGCGCAGGGCAATGTGTTTCGTCCTGTTCGCGAAGCCGCTTTTGTTGGCGATGCGAATTGCCGACTGGTTGTCGCAGAACAGGGTGAAGTTGGGTAACTCGGCTAATTTCGCTTCTTCCAGCAGCTCGCGAAGGTAAAGTCCTTCTTTGGTGGCTGAGCAGAGTGCAATGTATTCTGCTTCAGCTGATGAGAGTGCGATTAACTCCTGCTTGCTCGACTGCCAGGAGATAGGACCGATAGGTTCAAGGCGATAGATGTAGCCGGTGCGCGAGCGTCTGTTGTCTGAGTCACCAGCATGATCTGCGTCGACGTAGCCGATTAACTTAGTCGGTGTAGTTGCGTTCTTGTGGTAGGTTAGCCCGATCGTCGGGGTGCTGACGAGGTAGTGAAGAGCGCGGTCGAGCTCTGCTAGGTGCTCTGCTTCGGGTCTTTTGAGGTAGGTGGCGAGTTGGCTTGCGGAGTAGGATAGGTCTGGGCGACAGGTGACGGCTGCGAAGAGAAGGCATCCCAGCTTTCTCTGGTAGTCGCGAATGCCGGCAGGCTTGAGTAGAGCGGATTCACCCTTGTTGTTTCCTGTCGTGTAGCGATATGGTGTGGAGATGGCGGTTGGTGCAAGAGCGAAACGCTTGGCGATGGTGTCGGCGTATTTCGCGGCACTGAGGTAGATCGCGTTGTCTTCTTCTCGGATGTTGAGCCCAAGGTACTGTGTGACGGTAGACGAGACCGTGAGCGTGAGGTCTTGCTGCAGCTCCCCTTCGAACCAGGTGGTGATGCTGTCGGACGAGCCGATGTAGAGGAGGTCGTCTACATAGACGATTAGTAGAATGTAGTCGGTGTTCTTTGTAAGTCGGTACATGCCCTGATCATGCGGCAGTTGTTTAAAGCCGATGCGGACGAGGCGAGCGTGTAGATACTGTTGCCACAGTCGCGGAGCCTGTTTGATGCCGTAGAGCGATTTGAGCAGCTGGCAGACGTGTGTGGAGTCCGTGCTGGAGCCGTGTGGTAGCTCCACAAAAATCTCTGCGTCGACAGGTGCGTAGAGAAATGCGTTCGCAACGTCGATTTGTCTCAGCTTCTTCTTCTTCATGGCGGCGATTGCGAGGAGAATTCGCAGTGAGGTGTGTCGACTGACAGGTGCGAATGTTTCGGTGAAGTCGCGTCCGTGCTCTTGGTCGAAGCCGCGCACGACCCATCGTGCTTTGAACTTCTCGATGGTGCCGTCTGCTTTCGTTTTCACGCGGAAGACCCATTTTCTGGTGAGGATGGTTTTGTTCCGTGCTACGCTGATGGGGACGACTTTCCACGTGTTGCGCTCTTCTAATGCTTTCAGCTCCCTGTCCATGGCTTCGCGCCATTTTTCTCTGTGCTCCCCCCCCAGAGCCTGTTGAACCGTCGCAGGCTCCTTAGGAATGGCGGGACCGTGGACTGCGGTGACGAGCCCGAGTATCTGAAGTCCACTCTGTGTGTAGCGAGGGAGTGTGGTATCCTCGGGATAGACTGCTTCATCTCCCGCTTCTGGTGCTGGGTTGAAATTGGGTCCTACGCGTTCTGCTTCGTTGGTGTTGACCCGTGCAGGTGTAACGTAACCGTTGTCGGCGAAATCGTAGAAGACGTCGGCGTTGACGCTTTCGCGAGGATTGTCGTCATCCATTGGGACATCCACGGAGCAGTAAGGGAGAGGTCCGGCTGTTTCCGAGGCTCCCTCCACGTTCTGCTCGTCCCAGTCAGCTTCGTCTTCTGCCGAGGCGAAGGCTCGGTTCCCAAGAAATCCGCCCGAGAGGTCAGGTCTGTTTTCTTCGACGTACATGAGGTGAGTTCCGAGGGTGAGGTTCTCGTAGAAGATAACGTCACGTGCTGCTACTGTTTCCTTGCTGTTGATGTCGAAAATTTTCCATGCGTTGTAATGCTTTTCGATGCCCAGGTGCAGTCCCCACTGTGCGCGTTGAGAGAATCGCCCAGCTCGTGCAGATGGAGGTCGGTACTGTACCATGCAGCCGAAAACTCTCAACATTTTTGTGCTGCCCAATTTTCCTGTCCACAGCAGATGCGGTGATGCGTTGTTCGGGAGCGATGATGACGAAAGCAAGTTGTGCACCATCACTGTGTGGTCCATTGCTTCGGGCCACTGGTGGTTGGGCAGGTGCATGCCACGTAACAGCTTGCGCATGGTGGCTTGGAGCGTCCTGTTCATCCGTTCTGCTACACCTTGCTGTTGGTGGGCGTAGGGTAGAGAGATGAGCCGTTTGATCCCTCTTTCTGCCAAGTACTGCTTGAACCTCTGTGAGGTGTATTCTCCTCCCCCGTCTGACTGGAAGCTCTTTAGCTTGACGCCCGATTCCCTTTCTGCTACGGGGAGCCACGCGACGAAGGCTTCGAAGGCCATGTCTCTGCTTGGAAGGTTGTGTTAAACTGTATTATGCTTGTAGGCTGTAGTGGGGTAGCCAATATGGGGTACAACCCCAACTAGGGTTTGATATTTGTACCCAAACTTCTGCTAGTTCATTCATTCTTGCCTAGTTATTCTGAGATGGTATTCAGAGCAGGAGGTCCCTAGGACCTACCGACCGTTTTTTTTAAGGGCCCACCACCGCTCGCATGCGGTTACCACGCTACCCCGTGCCCTAGCCTCGTAGCGCCCTCGTGCGCCCTCGTGCGCCCTCGTTAGCGCCCTCGCGCGCCCCTCGTTAGCGCCCTCGCGCGCCCCTCGTTAGCGCCCTCGCGCACCCTCGTTAGCGCCCTCGCGCGCCCCTCGTTAGCGCCCTCGCGCGCCCCTTGCTAGCGCCCTCGCGCGCCCCTCGCAGTGTCGCCCGCCCGCCGAGCCGCCCGCTCGCAGCGTCGCCCGCCCGCCACGCTGCCCGCTCGCCCCTCGCCCGCCGCGCTGCCTGCTCGCAGCGTCGCCCGCTCGCCCCGCTGCCCGCTTCGCAGCCCGCCCGCCCGCTCGCTGCCCGCTTCGCGGCCCGCCCGCTTCGCTGCCCGCTCGCAGTGCCGCCCGCCCGCCCGCTACCCGCTTCGCAGCGGCGCCCGCCCGCTCGCTCGCTGCCCGCTCGCAGCGTCGCCCGCCCGCCCGCTGCCCGCTTCGCAGCGTCGCCCGCTCGCTCGCTGCCCGCTCGCAGCGTCGCCCGCTCGCTCGCTGCCCGCTCGCAGCGTCGCCCTCCCGCCTCGCTGCCCGCTTGCAGCGTCGCCCGCCCGCCCGCTGCCCGCTTGCAGCGTCGCCCGCCCGCCCGCTGCCCGCTTCGCAGCCGCCCGCCGCGCTGCCCGCTCGCCGCGTCGCCCGCCCGCCCCGCTGCCCGCTTCGCAGCCCGCCCGCCGCACTTCCCGCCTGCAGCGCCGCCCGCCTCGCCTGCTGCTTCCTGCCTGTGCACCGCCGCTTGCTCCTGCTGTGGCTGCTAGCTTCGCTCTAGCGCGTCCCCTCTGCTGCTGCTGCAGCTCTGCTGTGCCCTCACGCCCTCACGCCCTCACGCCTGAGCTCTATTCGCGTTCTTTCCTTCGATGCTGAGGGCCGTCCCGTGCAGTTTACTTCCTGGCTCGACGACCTGCAGTTGTATCTTATGAGCAATAGCACGGACCACATCTCCCTCTATGACTACGCGTCTGGTGCTGCCGCTGCTCCTGCTGCCACAGCCGAGCTTAGTGTACGTTCACAGTGGCAGACTCGTGACGCTGCAGCTCGCCTGGCTATTCGCAGTCACCTGCCGTTAGCTGAGCTAGAGCACTTTGGTGACTGCAAAACCGCTAAAGCCCTATACGACGCTGTCGTTGCTCGCTACTCCTCACCTGCCACAGCCGAGCTTAGCCGTCTCATGCTGCCTTACCTGTTCCCTGACCTGTCCACCTTTGCTACAGTCGCCGATCTTATCACCCACCTTCGCACTAGTGATGCTCGCCTGCGTGCCGCCCTTCCCACCGAGTTCTGCGCTAAGAACCCCCCTCCCCTGTACTGGGCACTCCACTTCATAGTCACCCGTCTCCCTGACACCCTCAGCTCAGTGCGCGACTATTTCCTTGCTCGCTGTCCCACTGAGCTCACTGTCGCCCTCCTAGAGGAGAAGCTGCTAGCAGCCGAGAAGAGCATTGTAGCTGTTGGTGCTGCTCGCGGCGCTCCTCGCACCCCCATCTTTGAGGGGTGCTCTCCCTCTCCCCTCGCTCCCTCCTATGCTACTGCTGCTGCTGTTGACTTCCTTGGTGCTGAGTCTGCTGGCGCTGCTTCTGCTCCTGGTGGGAGGCGCCGCACCGGCAAGGGCAAGGGGGGCAAGGGTGGCGGGGGTGGCGCTGGGGGGGGAGGGGGTGGGGGAGGTGGGGGGGGAGGCGGTGCTGGAGGGAGCGGTGGCGGGAGTGCCGGTGGGAGTGGGGCCGGCGGCGGAGGCGGGGGCGGCGGCGGGAGCAGTGGCGGTGGTGGCAGCGGCGGCAGTGGCGGCGGTGGCGGTAGTGGCGGTGGCGGTGGCGGTGGTGGCGGTCGGAGCGGAGGTAGTGGCGGCGGTGGAGGTCGGAGTGGAGGCACTGGCTCGGGCCAGAGCTCCCAGCAGCAGCAGCGTCCCCAGTCGACCCAGCAGCTTCGTGAGTGGCTTGCTCAGCGTGGGACGTCGGGGGGCAGTGGCCGCTGTTCCTATGTCATTCGCACAGGTGATCGCAAGGGGCAGACGTGTGGAAAGTTCCACACTCAGTACCGCTGCTTCTTCCGCCTTGACGACGCTTGGCGTGAGGAGATGGGCGAGGATGTTGAGCGCCCTCGCTGGGCTGAGCTGATGAGGGCTGGTGTTGATATCTTTGCTCTTGACTATGATGCTATTATTGCTGCCATGTATGCATTGACTGTTAGTGCCGAGGGAGACTGTTACTTGTGTGTGCCGCCTGACCCAGGTATAGGGCCCGCTGCCCTAGGTACTAGTGAGTCTGCTCTCTCTGGTATGGTGCCCCCTGTACCTGCTCCCTCCAGCACTGTCCCTGCTGCTTGCGAGTCTGCTCTCTCAGGTACAGCACCCACAGAGACTGCTCTCTCAGGTACTGCACCGGCTGAGACCTGTCACACCTTCACCCTTGACTCAGGTGCTTCCCGCTGCTTCTTTCGAGACAGTACTGAGCTCACACCGCTTCCTGCACCGGTCCCAGTCTCCTTGGCTGACCCCTCTGGGGGCCCAGTCCTTGCCCAGTCCACCACTGTGCTCCCTTGTCCGGCGGTTCCGTCTGGCTCGTTGACGGGTTTCCACCTCCCCTCGTTCTCGACGAACCTGGTGAGCAACGCTGTCCTCCAGGATCAGTGGGTTGACACCTTTACCCCTGGAGGACAGCGTGTGGCGATCTGCACGTGCTCCAGGACCGGCCGTCACCTGGCTACGTTTACTCGTCGGCCGGGGTCGAGTCTCTACACACTGACCACTGCGTCTCCTCAGGTCGCTGCTGTCGGTCAGGTGTCCGCGTCAGGTCTGGTGGCCCACGCCTGTGAGTGTCGTTCCCTGTCGCACCAGACTCTTCTCTGGCACCACCGCCTGGGTCACCCCTCCTTGCCACGCCTTCGTGGCATGCACAGTCGCCGCCTTGTGTCTGGTCTTCCCAGGTCCCTCCCTCCCCTCCCTGCCTCGCCTGCGCCGCCTTGCCTCCTTGCGTCGAGGGGCGGCAGCGCGCCGCTCCTCACTCCTCCTCGTTCCCCCCGACAGAGGCTCCTCTGCAGACCCTCCACCTGGACGTGTGGGGCCCAGCCCGCGTTCGTGGCCAGGGCGGTGAGCGGTACTTTTTGCTGGTTGTCGACGACTACTCGCGTTACACCACGGTCTTCCCCTTGCGCACCAAGGGTGAGGTCCCTGCTGTTCTGATCCCTTGGATCCGCACTGTTCGTCTCCAGCTCCGCCGCCGTTTCCGGACGGATCTTCCTGTCCTGCGTCTGCACTCTGACAGAGGTGGTGAGTTTTCCTCCGACCTCTTGAGGACCTTCTGTCAGGCGGAGGGCATCGAGCAGACCTTCACGCTTCCGGACTCCCCACAGCAGAATGGGGTTGCTGAGCGCCGCATTGGCCTGGTCATGGAGGTCGCTCGTACCTCCTTGGTCCACGCGGCGGCTCCCCATTTTCTGTGGCCGTTTGCTGTCCGGTACGCCGCGCATCAGCTCAACCTCTGGCCCCGTGTCTCCTTGCCGGAGACCTCGCCCACACTGCGTTGGACGGGGGAGGTTGGCGATGCGTCGCGCTTCCGGGTGTGGGGTGCTCGTGCCCTTGTCCGCGATACGTCCGCGGACAAGCTCTCCTCCCGCACGCTTCCCTGTGTCTTCCTTGGCTTTGTCCCTGACGCGCCGGGCTGGCAGTTTTACCACCCCACCTCGCGCCGGGTCTTCGCCTCTCAGGACGTCACCTTTGACGAGTCGGTCCCTTTTTACCGTCTCTTCCCCTACCGTACTGCCCCCCTCCCTCCCCCGCCGCTTTTCCTTGCTCCTGGTCCCCCTCCGGTAGACCCCCTTCCCCCTCAGGGTCCTGCTCCTTCAGGTGTCTCTCAGGTAGACCCTCCTCCCGTCGCTGAGCCTGTCGAGGTCACAGGTGACTCAGGTGCTGCTGCAGGTGGTGCTGCTGGGAGTGCTGAGCCTGCGGGTGCTGGGCCTGGGGGTGCTGGGACTACGGGTGCTGGAGCTGAGGGTACTGTGCCTGAGAGTTCGGCGCCTGGGGGTGCTGAGCCTGGGGGTGCTGCGACTGGGGGTGCTGAGCCGGCGTGTGCGGAGTCTGGGGGTGCTGAGTCTGGGGGTGCTGCGCCTGCGGGTACTGAGCCTGGGGGTGCTGCTACTGAGCCTACGGAGCCTCGGGTTGCTGCGTCTGGGGGTGCTCCGGTTCGGGGTGCTGAGCAGTCTCTCACACCACAGCAGCTTCGTGACTGGTACGTCCGGCGCTTTCGCCGTCCTAGTGGCTCGGCTGGAGCTGGGGGTACTGGAGCTGCCGGGACTGGTTGTTCTGGGAGCGCTACGACTGGAGCTGCTGGAGCTGGGGACTCTGGAGCTGGCGGCGCTAGCGGAGTTGTAGCTGCCGACTCTGGGGGTGCTCTTCCTTGCGGTGCTGCGGACCCTGGGGGTGGTGCTGTGACCCTGGGGGTGGTGCTGCTGCTGGTGCTGCGGACACCCTGGTGGAGCTGCTACTGGAGCTGAGGACCCGAGCGGTGGCGCTGCTGCTGGTGCTGGGGACCCGGACGCTGGAGTCTCTTCTGCTTCTGGAGACGCTCGCGGGGCCGCGGCCGTACTTCGTACCGCTCCTTCAGCAGGTTCTTGGGCATCTCCTCCTCCTTGTCCTCCTCCCTCCGTAGAGTGTCCTCCGCCTGTCCAGCCGCAGTCACAGCTACCGCCTGCCTCGCTCTCCCCTGCTCCCTCTCCTTACACTGGTCCCACAGGAGGTCTTACAGAGCGTCGTGAGCCTGACTTTGACTCTCTTGCAGCTGCTGTACCTCATCTCGTGGCCTGGTTGCTTGCCCCTGAGGGAGACCCGGATGCAGTAGACATCCCCACTCCGCGCACTTATGCAGAGGCGATCTCGGGTCCCTACTCCTCTCAGTGGCAGACAGCCATGGACGCAGAGATGGCATCCTGGAAGTCCACAGGCACCTACGTCGACGAGGTTCCCCCTCCTGGGGCGAACATCGTCGATGGCATGTGGATTTTCAGGGTGAAGCGGCCGCCAGGTTCTCCGCCTGTCTTCAAGGCTCGTTACGTTGCTAGAGGCTTCAGTCAGCGTCAGGGGGTCGACTTCTTCTTCTTCCAGACCTTCTCCCCCCCCCAAGATGACCACTCTTCGGGTTCTGCTGCACGTTGCTGCTCAGCGTGACTACGAGCTTCACTCTCTTGACTTCAGCACAGCGTTCCTGCAGGGCAGCCTGCACGAGGAGATCTGGCTGCGCCGCCCACCTGGCTTTACTGGGTCGTTTCCTCCTGGTACCCAGTGGAGCCTCCGCCGGCCAGTCTACGGTCTCCGCCAGGCACCACGCGAGTGGCACGACACACTGAGGACTACACTTGCGGCTCTTGGGTTCGCGCCGTCTACTGCTGACCCGTCGCTGTTTCTGCGCACAGACACGTCGCTGCCGCCGTTCTACATTCTCGTGTACGTCGACGACTTGGTCTTTGCTACTGCTGACACTGAGGCACTCGCTCGTGTGAAGTCGGAGCTGCAGAAGAGACACACCTGCACTGACCTGGGTGAGCTGCGTAGCTACCTTGGCTTGCAGATCACCCGGGACAGAGCTCGCCGCACCATCACCCTGACTCAGTCACACATGGTGCAGCAGGTCCTTCAGCGCTTCGGCTTCCAGTTCTCCTCACCACAGGCCACACCTCTGGCTACCAGCCACTCGCTCTCAGCTCCACCACCTCCGGACGAGTCCGCGCGCCGCCAGGTTCTCCGCCCGTCTTCAAGGCTCGTTACGTTGCTAGAGGCTTCAGTCAGCGTCAGGGGGTCGACTTCTTCCAGACCTTCTCCCCCACCCCGAAGATGACCACTCTTCGGGTTCTGCTGCACGTTGCTGCTCAGCGTGACTACGAGCTTCACTCTCTTGACTTCAGCACAGCGTTCCTGCAGGGCAGCCTGCACGAGGAGATCTGGCTGCGCCGCCCACCTGGCTTTACTGGGTCGTTTCCTCCTGGTACCCAGTGGAGCCTCCGCCGGCCAGTCTACGGTCTCCGCCAGGCACCACGCGAGTGGCACGACACACTGAGGACTACACTTGCGGCTCTTGGGTTCGCGCCGTCTACTGCTGACCCGTCGCTGTTTCTGCGCACAGACACGTCGCTGCCGCCGTTCTACATTCTCGTGTACGTCGACGACTTGGTCTTTGCTACTGCTGACACTGAGGCACTCGCTCGTGTGAAGTCGGAGCTGCAGAAGAGACACACCTGCACTGACCTGGGTGAGCTGCGTAGCTACCTTGGCTTGCAGATCACCCGGGACAGAGCTCGCCGCACCATCACCCTGACTCAGTCACACATGGTGCAGCAGGTCCTTCAGCGCTTCGGCTTCCAGTTCTCCTCACCACAGGCCACACCTCTGGCTACCAGCCACTCGCTCTCAGCTCCACCTCCGGACGAGTCCGTAGAGCCGAGTGGCCCGTACCCAGAGCTTGTGGGCTGCCTCATGTACCTGATGACTTGCACGCGACCTGACCTCGCGTACCCTCTTAGCATCCTTGCTCGTTACGTTGCGCCTGGGAGACACAGGCGAGAGCACTGGGAGGCTGCTAAGAGGGTGCTGCGCTACTTGTGCAGTACATCAGGCATGGGGCTGGTGCTTGGAGGACGCGACAGAGTTGTCCTCACTGGCCACTCGGACGCTTCTTGGGTGGACGACCTAGCTACGCAGCGGTCGTCACAGGGTTACACCTTCAGCCTTGGCTCTGGTTCTGTCTCGTGGCGGTCCACCCGCTCTTCCTCTGTTCTCGGCTCTAGTTGTGAGGCTGAGATCTACGCCACAGCCATGGCTGCACAGGAGTTACGCTGGCTCACCTACCTGCTGACTGACTTGGGAGAGCGGCCTAGTTCTCCTCCAGTTCTGTACGGTGACAACAAGGCGGCTCTTGCCTTGTGTCAGGAGCACAGACTGGAGCACAGGACGAAGCACATTGCTCTTCGTTACTTTCTTGCTCGAGAGCTTCAGCAGCGCGGTCAGCTTCGGCTTGTGTACGTGGACTCGAAGGCCAACACTGCTGATATCTTCACCAAGGCGCTCCCGCCTAGTGATCATCAGCGGCACTGTACTTCTTTAGGCCTTGTGTCCACGTTTCCTCACTTGCTCACTGCTTGACATTCTTTGTACTGTACTTTATATATATCTTGTTGCTTGCTTGCTAGGTTTTGATCACTGTGTTGCTTGTCTTGTACTATATCTAGCACTGCATGTGAACTGGCCTTGTGGCCTTTACTTGTGCTCGGAGTGTGGTGACGTTGTGATCCACCCTGGGCTTTGCTTTGCTTTGCTGGACTGGTCTTGTGACCCTTTGTTCTCCCCCACTTTGCCTATGGGGGTGTGTTAAACTGTATTATGCTTGTAGGCTGTAGTGGGGTAGCCAATATGGGGTACAACCCCAACTAGGGTTTGATATTTGTACCCAAACTTCTGCTAGTTCATTCATTCTTGCCTAGTTATTCTGAGAGGTTGAGGTGCCAAACGTACCGTGTGGATGCGTCGATGAAGGTGATGGTGTAACTGTAGGCGTTTTGTCCGGGTTCACGGTTGTATAATATGTCGCTGTACACCTTTTCCAGAGGTGTGTACGCAGGTGCGCTTGGATTGTGGTGCGAGACGAACGGCTGGTGTGGTAAATCAGCTTCAGGGCAGGTGAAGCACGTTCCACGGGCTCGCTGAAGTTCTCTGCCGTCGGTTAGTAGGAGTGAGTCTTTATCGAGCACTCCTGCTCTTATCGTGTTGTTTAACACTGTGTTGCTTGGATGTCCCATTCTTGCGTGCCAGGTTCCTTCGGTGGCGCGATGTCCGGGTGATCGTCGATACAGATCGGAGTTGGAGTAGAAGCCGGCAGTGACGTTGGTGCTTCGGTGGACTTCACGTGGTGCCGGGTTTAGCTGCTGTGCGGGTGTCGGTGGCGAATCGTCGATGGAGATTGGTGCCGTTGAAGGACCAGCGATTGGTGTCGATGTTGCCGCTGCTGCTGTTGTTGTTGTCTCTGCTGCTACCGTTGTTGTCGTTGTTGTCTCTGCTGCTGCCGATGTTGTCTCTGCTGCTGCCGATGTTGTCTCTGCTGCTGCCGATTGTTGAATTGTTGCTAACGCCCTTGTTCTCTCTGTTTCAGGAATGGTGTGTGAGTGCCAGAAGCCGCCGCGACTGAGGTCTGAATCAAGATCTGGAGGGTGGGTCCAGGAGGTGAAGGTGACGATGCCGTCGCTATCTGCTGTGCCGAGATCTGGAGCGAAATCAAGAACGAAGACGTTGTTCTTGAGGATCGCCTTTCCGATGTAGAGGCCGCCCTTCCCGTGGTACAGCTTGAATTCCTGGGTGGTGATGTTTGCTTCAAGGTGAATACCCTTCGCCATCAACTGACTGACGCTCAGTAAGTTGTAGCCGAGGCCTTCTGCAATTAAGGCCTTGGACATCTGTAGAATGACGTTTGTCTCTCGTGACTGAAGGTGTACTACGCCTTGTCGTCGTGTGCGCAGGTTCTGGTTGTTGGCGACGGTGATGACTACTTCACGTTGGAGTTGGTACTCTCGTTGTACGAAGCGTCCTGAAGAACACATGTGCTGTCCGCAGCAACTGTCCAAGAACCAGGTGTCTTTCCCGGATGGCTCGCTTTGGGCGATGGCTGCGTACGTTGGGTTCGGTTGAAGTGACTCGCGGCGGCGGTGGTGTAGTGTTGTCGAGTTGTTCTTCCGGTGAGTAGTGTGGTGGAGATTCAGTAACGCAGGAGTCCGTTAACTTTGCCATGCAACTGACGATGTTCCTTGCTCCTTGTGCAGGTTGTCCTGTTGAAGTTGTTGAGGCTTGAATTTGAGTCGTGGGATTCGCTTGCGTTGAGGCAACTTGGTTGCTTGAGGGTCGAAGCTGTCGCTGTGGAAGCGTTGACTGTTGTCGATTCGGGCAGTACGTACGTGGGTGCCCTGACGTCTTGCAGATGTGGCAGAACGGAGGTATGATTTTTGGTTGTTGTCGGTGTGTGTTGTTGTTGTACCGTCGCTGAGTGTGAAACGCGAATTCCGGTACTGATGTCTTTCTCTTTGTGTCGTTCTTCTTGCAGGTCCATGTCTTGCTGCTCGGCGTGAATTTCGGCGCAGAGCGCTGCTTCGGAGATTCTTCCGTGGGCTCGGAGAATGGCCTTTGTCGCGCGCCATCAAGGACCGAGGCCGCCGATGATGACTGTCACGAAGGCGTCTTCAGAGATTGACCCTCCGCATCGAAGAAGCTTGTCGCGCAGTTCGCGACATCGGCTGATATATGCCATCCCTTTTTCGCCTGGTTTCATTTCGACCGTTGTCAGTTGCGCCATTAGCCGACTTTGACTGACGCTGTCTGTTGCTTGATACAGGTCCTTCAGGTGCTTGTACGCGAGTTCCGCGGAGTTGCCGAATCCCCGGTAAGACCGTATGTTCTGCTGCTGAGTTGGGGTGATGTTTCTCAGTAGGATCGTATACGCCATCATCGACTGATATGTGTACTGCTGCTTCTCATACTGTGTGCCGTTTGTTGGGTATGGCACAGACCCGTCGAAGAAGCCAAGTATCTGCGCGCCTTCCATCATGAGCTCGAACTCGAACGACCAGGTGAAGAAGTCTTTTCCGTCGAAGGGCCTTGACGTCTGCAGCTTCAAGACATGCGTGAATTGCGACTGAACTTGTAGTGCATCCAGTGGTTTTTCTTATCAAGGTTGAGCTTGCGGGTGCGGCATGAAGCTAATGGACCCGCGTTCATACGGAGCAAAGGTAGGTTGTTGCTGGTTTCCGCGCGCATATGATGAGCCGTCGAGACTCATTGGAGTCACGTTGTTGTTGTTGCTGTTGTTTGACTGCGCAGGTGCCGACTGCTGGTGTTGTTCGTAGAACGACATGAAGGAGAAAAACTTCTCCATCATACTCTGGTCGAAGCTGGCAGGCTGGCTGGCTGAAGGCGCTGCTGGTCCCGTTGCGGTTCCTTCCTCTGTCTGCAGGCCAGAGGCAGGAGGTGGGGTAGGAGTAGTCCCGGGAGAACCATTAGAGGAACTCCTTTCCTTGTATGTTGCCATGTTGTCTGTTGATGACTTGATAGTAGTCGAATTTCCCCTGATAGCTCTCATACCATGTTGGGCTGAGAACAGCCCTTAGGATCTTTGCAGGGGTAAATTCGGGGTAGGATAATTGTAATAGCGGAAGCGTTTAAGAGGATTGTGAACCACCTTGCGCTAGTATGTGAGGGCAAAGTAAGTTAATTAAAGCAAAGAGATACAAGCATTTATATATGAGTACAAGGAATATGAAAGGATACGGTTATAACTGCTTTACTGTTGCTGTTGCGGTTCGATACAGTGACGACTCGGGCAACTGCTCTGTAGCGAGTCAGTTGTGTGTCCTTACTGTCGCGCTGTACTTGTCAGGTCAAAGGTCGCTGACCTTTGACTTTCGCGTAACCTCCAGCAACCTCTTTCAACCTCCGAGGGTTGACTCGCGTGTGCCTCAATATAGTTCGCTTCGCTTCTGGTGCGATGTTTCGACACGACAGAGGCGCTTAAGATTTACTGTTTCCAACACTGTAAATATCAACCCACCTACCGTAAATATCATAGGTTTTAAGACTTCTTATAAGGGTCAAAGGAAAAATCACTTAGAGAAAATAGGGTGCATAAACAAACCCAACTTAAAGGAGAAGTGTCATAAGGATAAATCGACCTTTTATCCTGGGGCCTGCAACCAAGTCACCTGGGCTCGGGCTTGAACCTAGATTTGTGTTAGGGGTTTTGCCCATGATTTTTGCTGACATCAAAATCATGAATTTATTCCCTTTCTTCACCACAGGAACAAATGAGGTGTAGATATCACAAACACCACCCACAATGCCGCTGCTGGTGCCCGCTGATCTCCGCCCAAGGCCCGCCAGCCACACATTTCTCGCCGCCTCCACCGCGCGACGTCGAAGCCACGCGCGTGGTCGCGTCACTCCGCTCGTCCTCTCTGCGCGTCTCTCCGCCCATGCTGCGCGCCTCTACGCCCATGCTGAGCGCGACGCTCCCCCCTCGCTGGCTGCACTGCGCGCCGATTCTCTTGGCGTCTCGCCACTCGCTAACCGCGCGTGTCCCGCTGCCCCCTCGGCATTGCTTTCCCCCGCCTCGATCGTCCCGCGCTCGGCGGATCTTGCGCTCGTCGGAGAGTGATGGCGGAGGCGGCGTGTCGAAGCGAGCAGCAGGCTACTGCCGCGGCTGTGTCGCGACTAGAGGGAAGCACGGTTACCAGACCGGAAGAGAGTGTGGTTACCAGACCGGAAGAGAGTGTGGTTACCAGACCGGAAGAGAGTGTGGTTACCAGACACGCCGTTGCTAGCGCGGGAGCAACGTCGCGTGGCGTTTGAAATTCGCGCTACGGACGGCGATGCCCGCGTGGGAGTTATCCGAGCGACGCGCGTAGGCGAGGCGGGGAGAGGAGGGGATGAGACGGGACGGATGCAGGGCGCTGAGGAGCGGCGGGGAGAGCAGAGTGGTGGAGAGTGGTTCGAAGTGGCGACGCCCGGTCTTCTAGCGTACACGCGGCGGGGCCTGCCGTTGCATCTGACGCCGGACGTGGCGCAGACGCTGGGGTTCGCTGGATGGACCGCGTGCTCCACTCACTTGTGAGCCGCCGCCCTGCCCCTGCCCCCCTGCCCCGCCGCCGCCGTGCCCCTGCCCCTGCATGCATGCACGCACCACAGCCAGCCTGTGGCAGCGTGCACTGAAGAGATGACGTCACTACTTCGACACAGTCGGCGCCTCCAACAGCTCAGCGCTGCGTTCTCCCTCTTCCCCTTCTCCTTGCCCCTCTCCCCGTCCAGCAGTCTCGGCAGCCCCGCCCACCAGACAATAGCCGCCCACAGCAGCGCGCTCACCGGCAGCGGCGGGGCTGCACGGCTTCCTGGCGCTGCCGCCCGCCACGCTGCTGCTCGCCTCGCCGCGCGACTCGCTGCTCTTTCCAGGAAGCCAGCAGGGCGGCAAGGCCTCAGCACGGCCTGCCACGTGGTTCGACACACCCAGCGGCCGCCGGCCAGGTGGGTGGTGGGGGCGGGATGAGAGGGCGGCAGGTGGGGCGGGCGGGATGGGAGGTCGGAGCATTGAGGGGGATGCGTGTGGTGCGCTCCATAGCGCTGGTGATGTGCGCTCCATGGCGCTGGTGATGTGCGCTCCATGGCGCGTGTGTGATGTGCGCTCCATGGCGCTGGTGATGTGCGGTCCATGGCGCTGGTGATGTGCGGTCCATGGCGCTGGTGATGTGCGGCGGACACACCCTCCTCACTGCTTCTTCCACCCGTCCCTTGCACGTCCTTTGCATGTCCCTTGCACGTCCTTTGCATGTCCCTTGCACGTCCTTTGCATGTCCCTTGCACGTCCTTTGCATGTCCCTTGCACGTCCTTTGCATGTCCCTTGCACGTCCTTTGCATGTCCCTTGCACGTCCTTTGCATGTCCCTTGCACGTCCTTTGCATGTCCCTTGCACGTCCTTTGCATGTCCCTTGCACGTCCTTTGCATGTCCCTTGCACGTCCTTTGCATGTCCCTTGCACGTCCTTTGCATGTCCCTTGCACGTCCTTTGCATGTCCCTTGCACGTCCTTTGCATGTCCCTTGCACGTCCTTTGCATGTCCCTTGCACGTCCTTTGCATGTCCCTTGCGCTTGCCCCCTCTGAGCTGACCTCACACTCATGTTCACGCTCCTTTGACCTGCACGCATCACCAATGGCGCCCCACGTCACCACACACACCACACCCGTGGCCCTGTGCTGCCCTCCCTCACACATCTGCCCTCCCTCACACATGTGCCCTCCCTCACACATGTGCCCTCCCTCACACATGTGCCCTCCCTCACACATGTGCCCTCCTCACCCACATGTGCCCTCCCTCACACATGTGCCCTCCCTCACACATGTGCCCTCCCTCACACATGTGCCCTCCCTCACACATGTGCCCTCCCTCACACATGTGCCCTCCCTCACACATGTGCCCTCCCTCACACATGTGCCCTCCCTCACACATGTGCCCTCCCTCACACATGTGCCCTCCCTCACACATGTGCCCTCCCTCACACATGTGCCCTCCCTCACACATGTGCCCTCCTCACACATGTGCCCTCCCTCACACATGTGCCCTCCCTCACACATGTGCCCTCCCTCACACATGTGCCCTCCCTCACACATGTGCCCTCCCTCACACATGTGCCCTCCCTCACACATGTGCCCTCCCTCACACATGTGCCCTCCCTCACACTGTGCCCTCCCTCACACATGTGCCCTCCCTCACACATGTGCCCTCCCTCACACATGTGCCCTCCCTCACACATGTGCCCTCCCTCACACATGTGCCCTCCCTCACACATGTGCCCTCCCTCACACATGTGCCCTCCCTCACACATGTGCCCTCCCTCACACATGTGCCCTCCCTCACACATGTGCCCTCCCTCACACATGTGCCCTCCCTCACACATGTGCCCTCCCTCACACATGTGCCCTCCCTCACACATGTGCCCTCCCTCACACATGTGCCCTCCCTCACACATGTGCCCATGTGCCCTCCCTCACACATGTGCCCTCCCTCACACATGTGCCCTCCCTCACACATGTGCCCTCCCTCACACAATGTGCCCTCCTCACACATGTGCCCTCCCTCACACATGTGCCCTCCCTCACACATGTGCCCTCCCTCACACATGTGTCCCTCCCTCACACAACATGTGCCCTCCCTCACACATGTGCCCTCCCTCACACATGTGCCCTCCCTCACACATGTGTTCCTCCCTCACACATGTGCCCTCCCTCACACATGTGCCCTCCCTCACACATGTGCCCTCCCTCACACATGTGGCCCTCCCTCACACATGTGCCCTCCCTCACACATGTGCCCTCCCTCACACATGTGCCCTCCACACTCACAGGTCACTCCAGAAGACCACAGTGCCATCGTGGCATCTCTGCTGCCACATGTCGCCATCTCATTGCACGATGCGACGCCCGCCACGTCATCAATGAATCGTCACCGAGTGGCTGTGCAGCGATCGCTGACATGGCTGGATGAGGAGCTGCGATTGGCTGAAGAACGAGGGGGGGCGAGAACAGTGAGTTTGGATTCGATGCTGGCAGCACAGCGCATGGGTGCCACAGTGTGTCCCTGCAGCGCTGTTGCAGCGATGTATCACAGCCTTGTCATCCCTGTGTGTGCTGTGCTGTGCTGTGCTGTGCTGTGGTGCGGTGTGGTGTGCAGGCGCTGCTAGGAGCGGTGGTGGGGGGCCCGTTTGAGGAGGAGAGGAGGCGGTCAGCACGCGAGACTGCAGCGCGCGCACAGGCTTGGCAGGTTGGGGGGGGGACGAGGGAGACAGGTGGGGGAAGATGGCTGGCAGGTGGAGTGATGGGAGGGGCAGGTGAGTGATGGGAGGGGCAGGTGGGGTTGGCAGGTGGGGTGGGTAGGAGAAAGGCGAAGGCCATGCGTTTCCACCTATCCCTCCGTGCTTGCGCGTTTCCACTATCCCTCCGTGCTTGCGCGTTTCCACCTATCCCTCGTGCTTGCGCGTTCCACTATCCCTCCGTGCTTGCGCGTTTCCACCTATCCCTCCGTGCTTGCGCGTTTCCACCTATCCCTCCGTGCTTGCGCGTTCCACCTATCCCTCCGTGCTTGCGCGTTTCCACCTATCCCTCCGTGCTTGCGCGTTTCCACCTATCCCTCCGTGCTTGCGCGTTTCCACCTATCCCTCCGTGCTTGCGCGTTTCCACCTATCCCTCCGTGCTTGCGCGTTTCCACCTATCCCTCCGTGCTTGCGCGTTCCACCTATCCCTCCGTGCTTGCGCGTTTCCACCTATCCCTCCGTGCTTGCGCGGTCCACCTATCCCTCCGTGCTTGCGCGTTTCCACCTATCCCTCCTGCTTGCGCGTTTCCACCCTATCCCTCCGTGCTTGCGCGTTTCCACCTATCCCTCCGTGCTTGCGCGTTTCCACCTATCCCTCCGTGCTTGCGCGTTTCCACCTATCCCTCCGTGCTTGCGCGTTTCCACCTATCCCTCCGTGCTTGCGCGTTTCCACCTATCCCTCCGTGCTTGCGCGTTTCCACCTATCCCTCCGTGCTTGCGCGTTTCCACCTATCCCTCCGTGCTTGCGCGTTTCCACCTATCCCTCCGTGCTTGCGCGTTTCCACCTATCCCTCCGTGCTTGCGCGTTTCCACCTATCCCTCCGTGCTTGCGCGTTCCACCTATCCCTCCGTGCTTGCGCGTTTCCACCTATCCCTCCGTGCTTGCGCGTTTCCACCTATCCCTCCGTGCTTGCGCGTTTCCACCTATCCCTCCGTGCTTGCGCGTTTCCACCTATCCCTCCGTGCTTGCGCGTTTCCACCTATCCCTCCGTGCTTGCGCGTTTCCACCTATCCCTCCGTGCTTGCGCGTTTCCACCTATCCCTCCGTGCTTGCGCGTTTCCACCTATCCCTCCGTGCTTGCGCGTTCCACCTATCCCTCCGTGCTTGCGCGTTTCCACCTATCCCTCCGTGCTTGCGCGTTTCCACCTATCCCTCCGTGCTTGCGCGTTTCCACCTATCCCTCCGTGCTTGCGCGTTTCCACCTATCCCTCCGTGCTTGCGCGTTTCCACCTATCCCTCCGTGCTTGCGCGTTTCCACCTATCCCTCCGTGCTTGCGCGTTTCCACCTATCCCTCCGTGCTTGCGCGTTTCCACCTATCCCTCCGTGCTTGCGCGTTTCCACCTATCCCTCCGTGCTTGCGCGTTTCCACCTATCCCTCCGTGCTTGCGCGTTTCCACCTATCCCTCCGTGCCCTCCTGCTTGCGCGTTTCCACCTATCCCTCCGTGCTTGCGCGTTTCCACCTATCCCTCCGTGCTTGCGCGTTTCCACCTATCCCTCCGTGCTTGCGCGTTTCCACCTATCCCTCCGTGCTTGCGCGTTTCCACCTATCCCTCCGTGCTTGCGCGTTTCCACCTATCCCTCCGTGCTTGCGCGTTTCCCCACCTATCCCTCCGTGCTTGCGCGTTTCCACCTATCCCTCCGTGCTTGCGCGTTTCCACCTATCCCTCCGGCTTGCGCGTTTCCACCTATCCCTCCGTGCTTGCGCGTTTCCACCTATCCCTCCGTGCTTGCGCGTTTCCACCTATCCCTCCGTGCTTGCGCGTTTCCACTATCCCTCCGTGCTTGCGCGTTTCCACCTATCCCTCCGTGCTTGCGCGTTTCCACCTATCCCTCCGTGCTTGCGCGTTTCCACCTATCCCTCCGTGCTTGCGCGTTTCCACCTATCCCTCCGTGCTTGCGCGTTTCCACCTATCCCTCCGTGCTTGCGCGTTTCCACCACCTATCCCTCCGTGCTTGCGCGTTTCCACCTATCCCTCCCTCCGTGCTTGCGCGTTCCACCTATCCCTCCGTGCTTGCGCGTTTCCACCTATCCCTCCGTGCTTGCGCGTTTCCACCTATCCCTCCGTGCTTGCGCGTTTCCACCTATCCCTCCGTGCTTGCGCGTTTCCACCTATCCCTCCGTGCTTGCGCGTTTCCACCTATCCCTCCGTGCTTGCGCGTTTCCACTATCCCTCCGTGCTTGCGCGTTTCCACCACCTATCCCTCCGTGCTTGCGCGTTTCCACCTATCCCTCCGTGCTTGCGCGTTTCCACCTATCCCTCCGTGCTTGCGCGTTTCCACCTATCCCTCCGTGCTTGCGCGTTTCCACCTATCCCTCCGTGCTTGCGCGTTTCCACCTATCCCCCGTGCTTGCGCGTTTCCACCTATCCCTCCGTGCTTGCGCGTTTCCACCTATCCCTCCGTGCTTGCGCGTTTCCACCTATCCCTCCGTGCTTGCGCGTTTCCACCTATCCCTCCGTGCTTGCGCGTTTCCACCTATCCCTCCGTGCTTGCGCGTTTCCACCTATCCCTCCGTGCTTGCGCGTTTCCACCTATCCCTCCGTGCTTGCGCGTTTCCACCTATCCCTCCGTGCTTGCGCGTTTCCACCTATCCCTCCCCTCCGTGCTTGCGCGTTTCCACCCTATCCCTCCGTGCTTGCGCGTTTCCACCTATCCCTCCGTGCTTGCGCGTTTCCACCTATCCCTCCGTGGCTTGCGCGTTTCCACCTATCCCTCCGTGCTTGCGCGTTTCCACCTATCCCTCCGTGCTTGCGCGTTTCCACCTATCCCTCCGTGCTTGCGCGTTTCCACCTATCCCTCCGTGCTTGCGCGTTTCCACCTATCCCTCCGTGCTTGCGCGTTTCCACCTATCCCTCCGTGCTTGCGCGTTTCCACCTATCCCTCCGTGCTTGCGCGTTTCCACCTATCCCTCCGTGCTTGCGCGTTTCCACCTATCCCTCCGTGCTTGCGCGTTTCCACCTATCCCTCCGTGCTTGCGCGTTTCCACCTATCCCTCCGTGCTTGCGCGTTTCCACCTATCCCTCCGTGCTTGCGCGTTTCCACCTATCCTCCCTCCGTGCTTGCGCGTTTCCACCTATCCCTCCGTGCTTGCGCGTTTCCACCTATCCCTCCGTGCTTGCGCGTTTCCACCTATCCCTCCGTGCTTGCGCGTTTCCACCTATCCCTCCGTGCTTGCGCGTTTCCACCTATCCCTCCGTGCTTGCGCGTTTCCACCTATCCCTCCGTGCTTGCGCGTTTCCACCTATCCCTCCGTGCTTGCGCGTTTCCACCTATCCCTCCTCCGTGCTTGCGCGTTTCCACCTATCCCTCCGTGCTTGCGCGTTTCCACCTATCCCTCCGTGCTTGCGCGTTTCCACCTATCCCTCCGTGCTTGCGCGTTTCCACCTATCCCTCCGTGCTTGCGCGTTTCCACCTATCCCTCCGTGCTTGCGCGTTTCCACCTATCCCTCCGTGCTTGCGCGTTTCCACCTATCCCCCCGTGCTTGCTGCCCACCATCCTTCCACCTATTCCCTCCTCCTTCCTCGCGTTCCCCCCCTATCCCTCCGTGCTCGCCTCCGTTTCTCCCTCCCCCCATCCATCCTCCTTGCCTTTCCACCTATCCCTCCCTGCTGCGCGTTTCCACCTATCCCTCCTGCTTGCGCGTTTCCCCCTTCCGTCCCTCCGTTTCCACCTATCCTTCCTCCTTTCCTCGCATTCCACCCCTCCTTTCCCGTTTCCCCCCTCCCCCCTTCCACCCCCCTCCTTGCGCCGTTCCCCTCCCTCCTCCACCATCCCCACCTTCCACCTTTCCCCCCATCCCTCCGTGCTTGCGCGTTTCCACCTATCCCTCCGTGCTTGCGCGTTTCCACCTATCCCTCCGTGCTTGCGCGTTTCCACCTATCCCTCCGTGCTTGCGCTTTCCACCACTATCCCTCCGTGCTTGCGCGTTTCCACCTATCCCTCCGTGCTTGCGCGTTTCCACCTATCCCTCCGTGCTTGCGCGTTTCCACCTATCCCTCCGTGCTTGCGCGTTTCCACCTATCCCTCCGTGCTTGCGCGTTTCCACCTATCCCTCCGTGCTTGCGCGTTTCCACCTATCCCTCCGTGCTTGCGCGTTTCCACCTATCCCTCCGTGCTTGCGCGTTTCCACCTATCCCTCCGTGCTTGCGCGTTTCCACCTACCTATCCCTCCGTGCTTGCGCGTTTCCACCTATCCCTCCGTGCTTGCGCGTTTCCACCTATCCCTCCGTGCTTGCGCGTTTCCACCTATCCCTCCTGCTTGCGCGTTTCCACCTATCCCTCCGTGCTTGCGCGTTTCCACCTATCCCTCCGTGCTTGCGCGTTTCCACCTATCCCTCCGTGCTTGCGCGTTTCCACCTATCCCTCCGTGCTTGCGCGTTTCCACCTATCCCTCCGTGCTTGCGCGTTTCCACCTATCCCTCCGTGCTTGCGCGTTTCCACCTATCCCTCCGTGCTTGCGCGTTTCCACCTATCCCTCCGTGCTTGCGCGTTTCCACCTATCCCTCCGTGCTTGCGCGTTTCACCTATCCCTCCCTCCGTGCTTGCGCGTTTCCACCTATCCCTCCGTGCTTGCGCGTTTCCACCTATCCCTCCGTGCTTGCGCGTTTCCACCTATCCCTCCGTGCTTGCGCGTTTCCACCTATCCCTCCGTGCTTGCGCGTTTCCACCTATCCCTCCGTGCTTGCGCGTTTCCACCTATCCCTCCGTGCTTGCGCGTTTCCACCTATCCCTCCGTGCTTGCGCGTTTCCACCTATCCCTCCGTGCTTGCGCGTTTCCACCTATCCCTCCGTGCTTGCGCGTTTCCACCACCTCCTCCGTGCTTGCGCGTTTCCACCTATCCCTCCGTGCTTGCGCGTTTCCACCTATCCCTCCGTGCTTGCGCGTTTCCACCTATCCCTCCGTGCTTGCGCGTTTCCACCTATCCCTCCGTGCTTGCGCGTTTCCACCTATCCCTCCGTGCTTGCGCGTTTCCACCTATCCCTCCGTGCTTGCGCGTTTCCACCTATCCCTCCGTGCTTGCGCGTTTCCACCTATCCCTCCGTGCTTGCGCGTTTCCACCTATCCCTCCGTGCTTGCGCGTTTCCACCTATCCCTCCGTGCTTGCGCGTTTCCACCTATCCCTCCGTGCTTGCGCGTTTCCACCTATCCCTCCGTGCTTGCGCGTTTCCACCTATCCCTCCGTGCTTGCGCGTTTCCACCTATCCCTCCGTGCTTGCGCGTTTCCACCTATCCCTCCGTGCTTGCGCGTTTCCACCTATCCCTCCGTGCTTGCGCGTTTCCCCTATCCCTCCGTGCTTGCGCGTTTCCACCTATCCCTCCGTGCTTGCGCGTTTCCACCTATCCCTCCGTGCTTGCGCGTTTCCACCTATCCCTCCGTGCTTGCGCGTTTCCACCTATCCCTCCGTGCTTGCGCGTTTCCACCTATCCCTCCGTGCTTGCGCGTTTCCACCTATCCCTATCCCTCCGTGCTTGCGCGTTTCCACCTATCCCTCCGTGCTTGCGCGTTTTCCACCTATCCCTCCGTGCTTGCGCGTTTCCACCTATCCCTCCGTGCTTGCGCGTTTCCACCTATCCCTCCGTGCTTGCGCGTTTCCACCTATATCCCTCCGTGCTTGCGCGTTTCCACCTATCCCTCCGTGCTTGCGCGTTTCCACCTATCCCTCCGTGCTTGCGCGTTTCCACCTATCCCTCCGTGCTTGCGCGTTTCCACCTATCCCTCCGTGCTTGCGCGTTTCCACCTATCCCTCCGTGCTTGCGCGTTTCCACCTATCCCTCCGTGCTTGCGCGTTTCCACCTATCCCTCCGTGCTTGCGCGTTTCCACCTATCCCTCCGTGCTTGCGCGTTTCCACCTATCCCTCCGTGCTTGCGCGTTTCCACCTATCCCTCCGTGCTTGCGCGTTTCCACCTATCCCTCCGTGCTTGCGCGTTTCCACCTATCCCTCCGTGCTTGCGCGTTTCCACCTATCCCTCCGTGCTTGCGCGTTTCCACCTATCCCTCCGTGCTTGCGCGTTTCCACCTATCCCTCCGTGCTTGCGCGTTTCCACCACCTATCCCTCCGTGCTTGCGCGTTTCCACCTATCCCTCCGTGCTTGCGCGTTTTCCACCTATCCCTCCGTGCTTGCGCGTTTCCACCTATCCCTCCGTGCTTGCGCGTTTCCACCACTATCCCTCCGTGCTTGCGCGTTTCCACCTATCCCTCCGTGCTTGCGCGTTTCCACCTATCCCTCCGTGCTTGCGCGTTTCCACCTATCCCTCCGTGCTTGCGCGTTTCCACCTATCCCTCCGTGCTTGCGCGTTTCCACCTATCCCTCCGTGCTTGCGCGTTTCCACCTATCCCTCCGTGCTTGCGCGTTTCCACCACCTATCCCTCCGTGCTTGCGCGTTTCCACCTATCCCTCCGTGCTTGCGCGTTCCCCACCTATCCCTCCGTGCTTGCGCGTTTCCACCTATCCCTCCGTGCTTGCGCGTTTCCACCTATCCCTCCGTGCTTGCGCGTTTCCACCTATCCCTCCGTGCTTGCGCGTTTCCACCTATCCCTCCGTGCTTGCGCGTTTCCACCTATCCCTCCGTGCTTGCGCGTTTCCACCTATCCCTCCGTGCTTGCGCGTTTCCACCTATCCCTCCGTCCCTCCGTGCTTGCGCGTTTCCACCTATCCCTCCGTGCTTGCGCGTTTCCACCTATCCCTCCGTGCTTGCGCGTTTCCACCTATCCCTCCGTGCTTGCGCGTTTCCACCTATCCCTCCGTGCTTGCGCGTTTCCACCTATCCCTCCGTGCTTGCGCGTTTCCACCTATCCCTCCGTGCTTGCGCGTTTCCACCTATCCCTCCGTGCTTGCGCGTTTCCACCTATCCCTCCGTGCTTGCGCGTTTCCACCTATCCCTCCGTGCTTGCGCGTTTCCACCTATCCCTCCGTGCTTGCGCGTTTCCACCTATCCCTCCGTGCTTGCGCGTTTCCACCTATCCCTCCGTGCTTGCGCGTTTCCACCTATCCCTCCGTGCTTGCGCGTTTCCACCTATCCCTCCGTGCTTGCGCGTTTCCACCTATCCCTCCGTGCTTGCGCGTTTCCACCTATCCTCCGTGCTTGCGCGTTTCCACCTATCCCTCCGTGCTTGCGCGTTTCCACCTATCCCTCCGTGCTTGCGCGTTTCCACCTATCCCTCCGTGCTTGCGCGTTTCCACCTATCCCTCCGTGCTTGCGCGTTTCCACCTATCCCTCCGTGCTTGCGCGTTTCCACCTATCCCTCCGTGCTTGCGCGTTTCCACCTATCCCTCCGTGCTTGCGCGTTTCCACCTATCCCTCCGTGCTTGCGCGTTTCCACCTATCCCTCCGTGCTTGCGCGTTTCCACCTATCCTCCGTGCTTGCGCGTTTCCACCTATCCCTCCGTGCTTGCGCGTTTCCACCTATCCCTCCGTGCTTGCGCGTTTCCACCTATCCCTCCGTGCTTGCGCGTTTCCACCTATCCCTCCGTGCTTGCGCGTTTCCACCTATCCCTCCGTGCTTGCGCGTTTCCACCTATCCCTCCGTGCTTGCGCGTTTCCACCTATCCCTCCGTGCTTGCGCGTTTCCACCTATCCCTCCGTGCTTGCGCGTTTCCACCTATCCCTCCGTGCTTGCGCGTTTCCACCTATCCCTCCGTGCTTGCGCGTTTCCACCTATCCCTCCGTGCTTGCGCGTTTCCACCTATCCCTCCGTGCTTGCGCGTTTCCACCTATCCCTCCGTGCTTGCGCGTTTCCACCTATCCCTCCGTGCTTGCGCGTTTCCACCTATCCCTCCGTGCTTGCGCGTTTCCACCTATCCCTCCCTCCGTGCTTGCGCGTTTCCACCTATCCCTCCGTGCTTGCGCGTTTCCACCTATCCCTCCGTGCTTGCGCGTTTCCACCTATCCCTCCGTGCTTGCGCGTTTCCCCTATCCCTCCGTGCTTGCGCGTTTCCACCTATCCCTCCGTGCTTGCGCGTTTCCACCTATCCCTCCGTGCTTGCGCGTTTCCACCTATCCCTCCGTGCTTGCGCGTTTCCACCTATCCCTCCGTGCTTGCGCGTTTCCACCTATCCCTCCGTGCTTGCGCGTTTCCACCTATCCCTCCGTGCTTGCGCGTTTCCACCTATCCCTCCGTGCTTGCGCGTTTCCACCTATCCCTC